GGGGCTGCCGCCCTCCGGGAGAAGTGGGGGGGCCCGGCCGTGAGCGAGCTGTGTGCCCCGTGAGGGTGGCTGCGGCTCTGTTCCCCTGCAGGGTCATGAGGGGCTCTTCAGGGCTGCCGCTCTCTGCTGCCTGAGCCAGGGCTGGCGGCCTCCAGCCCCGCCGATGGTGTTGGGGCCGTGTTCACACGTCGGTGTTGTGGAGCCGGGGAGCAAAGCCAGCTCTGCAGAGGTGGTGGCTGGACTAGCCTCGAGAGGGGTGCTAAAAACCCGCCCTTCTTACTGGCCAGAGCCAGTTCAAAAGCGGTTCTGCTTGTGAGCGTTATGTTACTGTTTATTGTCATCTTCTGACAGAAACATACCTTTGTGTGCGTTTCTGCTGCCAGTAGTCCCGAAAGTATCCAGCCTATTGCAATAGTGTCACGGCCTCTGGCTTACCATGCAATAACTTGCACCCCACATGGATGCAGCTTTGTGTGTTCCCCTGGTAATGGGGTTGGATTTGGGAAAATGCAGCCTTGGGAAAGCTGAGGTGATGATGTTACTGCTGTTATACAAGTTCCATTAAAACAAACCTTCCATTACCAGAGTCCGATTCTAAAGTCTTGGCGTTGTCTCTTTTCTTCGTATTGGTTCGATTGTCCTCCTCCTTTATTTTTCTTATCTTCATTCACTCAGTGATCTGTGTGAGTCATGTACTACTAATGCTTTTTTTTTTGGGGAAAGGTAGATTTAATTGCTTATAGAGGAATTGAAGTTGAAAAGTGCTATTGTATACTAGTAAAAAAAATGGTTAATTCTGCACAAGTATCTGCATTTAATTACATTAAAAGTATTTTAAATTATTTTCTTGCCTTTTTTTCCCCAGTAAAGGGTTCTTTTATCAGTGAGAATCTTGAACTTGACTTCAGACAAGAGGCTCTAAAGTTCTCGCTTGTTTTAAAACATTCGATTTCATGTTAAATAAATATTTATTGTATAGTAATTTTTATTGTTTCAAAACAGAATACCTTGAGAAAGTAATGTTTGTTTAGGAGAAAAATAAATATGTTTTTAAAGTCTTCTGGATAACTGTTTTACTTCTTTTTACTTTCAGAGTACGAAGCAGAACAGCTTCAATTTCCAGATGTTCTTGAATCAAAACATGGATCTGTGAGTATAGTCCAAGAATAGAATTTACATAGGGCTGGTTTTAAACGATTTTAAATAACTAAATGGGAAAATTACTATCTGCAGAATAGACTCATTCATAAAATGAAAACGAAACTATGTTTTGCAATCAACTTCTATGAATCAACAAATGTAATATTCCAAATAATTGCTTTTATTTAAAGCAACTTGGGTCGCACTGTCCTAAGATTAGATAACCAGCTGTGTTTGGTCTGTACATCTCACTATTTTCTGTGACTGTCTGCTCAGGACAGGATCCTGAAGTATGCAGGGAGCTCCTTTGGGTGGTGTTGCAAGCAGATGGAGCACTGAAATATGCAGGAGAAGAAGCAATTGCAGTGAAGGAGTTATGCCCTAATTTCACATATTTGATAGGACACTTAGATGTCACTAAGGAAATTAGTAGCATTAAGCCTGATCAAAGTTGTTTGAGGTTTAATTTTAACCAAATAAATTCAGTCTAGGAAGACTTGTTTGGCAGACATCAAAACTTTAGAAAGACAAACCACTTTAAATCTTTTTCTAGGAGCTCAATTTAATTCTTTTAGGCATCACATACAGAGTTAACTTTCGTTTAAATTAGGCATTTTTGTAGAAGTTTTATTTTATTGTTCTGTATTTAGGTTATTCTGTTATTTTAAAACTATTTTAAAGTGTTGCAGTTTAAATTGTCTGACAGCTGGTCTGTTTAGACCTATCCTGTTTCCTCAAATGAAACTGGCTTCATTGCAGGATGTTATTAAATTTCAGTAGTGAACTCTGCTTGGGGAATTAGTCTAGACATAATATATTGATATATTTGAGTATCAAAATGAAATAATAGACCTTTTTGTGTTGATGCACTTGTTTTAATTTCCAAAAGGATCATTTTTTGTATCTTGCATATCTTAGAAAGGAGTCTTCCTGTGGTCATTGACATGCAGTGTATGATAAGTATAGTGGCCTGATCCCACCATCTGCATTTCAGTAGCTTATAAATCCAACTGAATTTTAAAGTCAAACTGTTCAAATGACGTAGTTTTCGTAACAGATTTTCATGGTAATGGTGGTGCATTCTCGAGGATAATGGGAGGTATCTGCTTTTCTATAACAGGTGTAAATCAGTGTCTGTTAGGAGTATTCTGCCTCACTGTAACAGTTCCTGCACTCCTGAAAACTGTACATAAATTTCTGGACTTTTTTCATGATATCTGTAATTGTTTCTATGCGGGGAAACTTAAGACTTGGATTTGCATCTGCTCTGAATTCGTTTGTGCTTTATTTAGAAGGGAAGTTTATTTTCTTTAAAAGGTGCTGGCACTTCTGAGCAATTCAGAAACAAATGTATAAGCTTCTGAGTGGAAAATACTCAGAAGATGTTGCTGATTTTAATTTTCAAATAATTGCTACTTACAATGGCTAAAATATTTTTAAATAGTGATATCTCTCGATATTCTCTTAAAAGCAGTCATATAACTTCTGTTAGGTTTGGATGTTTTTATTGTGCTGGAAACTGCAGAGATTTTTAAAGTATAATTCTTTCTTTTAAAGTACTCAGAAAATACTTAAATCATTTCATATTTGAATTAGAAATTATAATTCCATATTTTTTAACTTATTTTTCCTGTTGAATTGGCTTCTTTATTTTTTACAGTCTGATTGGGGTGTTTATATAGGTTACATTTATCTTGAACAGGTGTCTTTAGAAGAAGGAATATTGCAGCCGTTAAGTACTGAACAATTTTATTCAGCCCCTGCAGCTGATACCGTTGTCCAACAGTCACCTCCCATTCTTGAGGCAGCTCCCTTTCCAAAACCACCTGATCCAAAAACATGTAAGTAGCAGTACATTGTTTTGAACCCTGCTGTGATTATTTTCACAGAATCACAGAATGTTAGGAGTTGGAAGAGACCTCGAAAGATCATCCAGTCCAACTCCCCTGCCGTAGCAGGATCACCCAGACCAGGTCACACAGGAACGCGTCCAGGTGGATCTTGAATGTGTCCAGAGAAGAAGACTCCACAACCTCTCTGGGCAGCCTGGGCCAGTGCTCTGTAACCCTCACAGTGAAAAAGTTTTTTCTTATGTTCAGGTTGAACCTCCTGTGCTCCAGCTTGCACCCATTGCCCCTTGTCCTGTCATTTGACATCACTGAGAAGAGCCTGGCTCCTTCCTCCTGACACTCGCCCTTTACAAATTTATAAACATTAATGAGATCACCCCTCAGTCTCCTCTTCTCCAAGCTAAAAAGACCCAGATCCCTCAGCCGCTCCTCGCAAGGTAGTTGCTCCACTCCCTCAATCATCTCTGTGGCCCTGCACTGGACTCTTTCAAGCAATTCTCTGTCCTTCTTGAACTGAGGGGCCCAGAAGTGGACACAGTATTTTCTTGCAAAATATTTTTCTTGCCAATTTTCTTGCATTTGGCAAGGGTTTGTCATTTGTTGAATTAAAAGTGTTAACAGGTACAACACCTTTTCTTAATTTGCGTGATTAGTCCTCTGGTCTGTAAACAAGGAGCCAGCTTGGCCACTTGGTGATGGGAGAAAGCTCAAATAGTGCATTACACACCAGTAACATTGTTTAGCTGTTAAGGTAGTTCTGTTCTCTTCTGAATAAGTGGCTTTTTATTTAGCCACTTAAACAAAAGAAAGGCAATAATTTCTTCCTCTTATTTAATAATGCAAAACTAGGATCAATAGACTAAATAGACAGTTGAGTTTGAAAACTCTTTTTGAAATATTATCATTGCTCTGCTGATTACAAGTTAGAATGGAAACTGCTTTTAAGTTTGGTTCTTACTTTTTTATCAATTTCTATACTTTGTAAAATTTACTAAGTAGCAATGTATTTTTGTTATGCATTTTAGCCCTCCTTTTTGTCTTGTCTTCTCTTTGATTCATTCTTGTTCATTAGGAATTCCTGTTGCTAATCAGAAGCAATGTTACCCTTGGCTTTTATATATGTAGTGTCCTCCCAATTATGAACATTTTCTGGCAGTATATGAACCAATTAAAGGTATAAAGCAAAGAATAAATTCAATGTTTTAGCTGTGTTGCCAGAAGAGAACACTTGTATGACTTAATTGTTAATGCCCACACCAAAACCTGAATGCTTACTGAATATCAGGCAGTCTGGCTTTAAATCAAGGACAGCACTTGAGCTGATAAGCCACCCCCGCTTGTCTAGGATCCTGACAGGTTTTGTTTCTTTCACCTTTGTGAGGGAAGTTCTTTTACGGCTTCATCCAGGGTTATGCTCCCTGTTTCCTCTGGCCAAGTGAACTTGACTTCCACCATGTGTAGTGTCTTCATCAGAAGGGGCAGAATGCTCCTCCGCTTCACCCAGTGTATGAGTTGATGGGGAAAGGTCCCATTAGGAAAGATGGAGGTGTGGGTAAGAGCTGAGAAGGAAGCAGAGCCTGAGTCTCTCAGCTGAGCAAGCATGTAGCCATTAGGCTATATGGGGAGCACGGGCAATAGCCCTGCTGGTTTTTGGTGATGCTGATTGCAGCTGTTTTCTTCTGCATGGAACTTGGGGATGCCAATGTGTGTGAGCATATGGGAAGTATGGCAAGTAGACCTCATGTAAGGTCAGTGCAGTCAAACATGAGAGATGCAGTGCAGACAGCCCTCTCAAGATGGAAAAATTTCATATATGGAGTCATGTTCAAATTTCTGAAGGATCTGTTAAATAGTAAGTAATTATGAGAAAGAAATTGCGGCACCACTGAAGTATTATGGTATCTAATGTTTCTCTTTGTGAAATCTAAGTGCTCATCTGTAAATGAAGGCTGTACTCTTTTGCTCAGGTTCTCCTCAAGAATACTTAGAGAATTACTTATTTCCAGTACTCTTACCTGGAATTGCTGAACTTCTGCATCAAGCAAAGAAGGAAAAGTGTTTTGAGGTTAGTTTTTAGTTTGCAGTTTAAATAATTGGCAGGAAGTTACGGTCTTTTATTTCACAGGCTATATTTCTTTATTTGTTGGGGTTTTTTGTTTGTTCGGGTTTTTGTTTGGTTTTGTTTGGTTGGGTTTTTTTGTGAGAAAACCAACCACAATAATATGAAATAACATATAATTACTTGTCTTGGATCTGGTCTTTTATGTTGTTTTCTTTTGTAATTCGGAACAGATTGCATACCACACACACTTGATCATTAAGACAATCTCTAACTCACAGCAAATCCTCTTTAAATATCCAGTTGTATTTAGCCTGGAGTGTTGTATTTTAGAGAAACAGGCTTCCTTTCAGACTAATATGCATCACTCATTTGAGTGTGACGTAAAGAATTTCAACTTTACTTCATTACTCAGTTATTTTTGGTAATAGAGGTACATTTTGTATTTTAGTTTTTTAAAAAAGCATTAGAACTGGTGCAAAATAAAGCTTATTGTATCACCATGGCCTAACTCACAGCCTCCCAGCAATAGATTAGATACTGGAAGTTGTGGGGTCTTCTATCATTTCTGTGATTTTCTCCAACCATGGAAGTAATTTTTTTTTCTTTCTATTTCTTCCTACTTTCTGCCTGTCATCCACACTTTCCAATGTAAAACTTCTCAATATTTTTATTCCCGTAGCTGAACTTCCTCTTGCTTGCAGCTTCATTATATAAAAAGCAGTTAGTATAAAAGGCAATGAAAATATCTCCCTTTTTGTACACGATACACATCTGAGGAATACAGTTTGTGCTCTTGGGGGTTATAGATTAAAATGTTATGGATTAAAATGATAGCCAAGTGAGGATGACTTTGCATTACTAGTGGATTATCAGTCATCTTAGGTCTTGATCCATCTCCTCTCTGACTACTGACGTTGACTTCCTGTTATAAGCATGTGCATATATGGCAACAGACGTGGTACAATTTGTAAAAATTAGATGTGTGCTGTTTCCCACTAACCTATGGATGCCTGGCACAGCCAAAAATACACAAAGCTTACCTTGATTGAATGCGCACCCCAAACTTACATTTCAAATCCAGATCTGTGCATTTAATAGCAGTAAGTTATTTGGGGTTTTGCTCAGTCTTCACAAGATTAGAGTGTGTCTATAAACTGATTAATTTATGGATGTGTGTATATGTATTTATAATCTGTGTTTGGTACAGGTGAAATAGGAAAATGGTTCATTTACATGTCATTATGGCATGATATC